GAGCCGAGGAGCCGCAGCTGCTGGGCCAGAGGAGGAGCCGGCCCCACTGGCCCCGGCCCAGCCGCCGACGGGAGGGCGCGGGGAGGGGACACTCCCCCCGCCCCTCGCACGCCCTCGCCCAGCGGACCTCGGGGCACAGGCCCTTAAAGGGTCCTCTGTGGAAAAGGCCTCTCCTCCAGCGCCCCTGCCTCCGAGAAGGGACCGGTCCCCCTTGATCTGTTGGCTGAACTTCTGAGTTAAAGGAAGGCATCGATGTGGAAGCGCTCGCTTCGGGATCAGCAAAATCCCTGCTCACGGGAAGCATGGTTTGTGGGAAATCTGCACAGCTAGGAGCTGCTCCAAAGCTGGGGAGATGTGCCTCCCGAGAAAGGCCTGGCCCAGCTGTGTGCTGGCACCCTGCGTGCAGGTCGCTCGCGTGGGCGGCAAAGGCCCAGATGCTATCTCACTGGACGGCGGAAGGTGGTCCCTGGGACGCTGCCCATCAGCCCGTGGGACTTACCGCTGGGCAGCGAAGCGGGGGCAAAACACAGTAAGCCCCTTGCTCCACTGCAACGCTTATGACCACTATAAAGGTTACAATTAAGGTTTTCAGTTCAGTCAACAGGCAGTTATTTAAATAAAAATAAAAGGCCTTTACACGTGTTTCCTTTCAGTCTCAAAATTGTCTCTCTTCCAATACCCATTTCTTCCCTTTAATCAATAGAATTTTTGCAAGTTTCTTTTGCCAGGTTCAGATGACAGCTCCCTCTAGTTGTTTTTTTGTTATGGTCTGTGACTCAGAAGGTTTGAAAACGACCCTTACAGAGTTTTTATGAGACTCGCAGGCTCTTTTCTGTTTACTCTGTGATTGGCAGGACCGCGGGCATTAGTGTACTGTGAGGTCAGAGTGCTAGTTGTCTCACAATGGGTGGGACAGTCCCACACCTTAAATTGTCCTTCAGGGACTTCTGAATAGGCCAATAGTTATTCATTTAGATTTTTTTTTTTTACAAAAAGTGCATTATATTTCATCAAGACTAATTTAAGTCTATTTTGCACATAAAATTTTTTGCATGCTTTTTATTTTCTAAAGTGTATCTACTATATACATTGAGGAAATAATATACTTGGTATTTTCTAAGTTTACCAAGTTTTGTTTACCATTTCAGAAAATCACATCACTGATAACTCTGCTCATGGTATTGTCTCCAGGACACTATCAACACCCCATCTGTCACATTAATGGTGACTCTGGGAATAGGTTTAGGCTTTTATTTCATTTTGCCTACAAGGTAGTTTTGCCCAAGTGTTTACATATTGAAATACATATTGTTTTATATAGGTGACTTTTATTTCCTTTTTTTTTTTATTTTAAGACATTATATTGATTTTTATTATATTGACGTTAGGTGATTATCTAAAATACCTCCTTTATTTTATTGAAAGGAAATTCATTATACAATTGAGAACCACTGGAAAGATGATGCTGAAGTGATTAAATATCCCTCAATATTATCCATCTTCCTTAGTTCTGTTAATGCAAATAGTAGGAAAATTTATAATCTTTTTTCTTATTGTGGAAGTTGCAAAATGAAATGTGGCCCAGGCCTTCCGACTAAGACTGTCATCTCTACTGTCAACTCTACCTGTCAGATTCAACACAAGGGGAAAACACAAAATTATTTAACTAAAATTAAGACACAGAATCAGTATTATCAGAGCTATAATTTTTTTCATATGAACCTAATTGAGATATAATATACACAAAATAAATGCACTCATTTGATGTGTTTAAAAACTGTAAACTCCCATTTGACAATTACCCCCAATTAATATATAGTCTATCATTCCCCAAAGTTTCTTTGTAGTAACTCCCCCAAACTCCACCCCTTGAAATAGGCAACTGCTGATCTGATTTCTGTCACTATAGATTATTTTAGCTTTTCACAAATTTCATATAAATGGAATAACAAAATAATCTTTTGTGTCTGGCTTCTTTCACTCAGCTCAGTGTTCTATAGGTACAGCCAAGCTGTTGCTTTACATCAGTAGCTTACTGCTTTTCATTGCTGAATCGTATTCTATTGTGTGGATATATCACAGTTTATACATTTACCTATTGAAGTACATTTCTGTTGTTCCAGTTTTGAGATATTAAGAATAAGTTACACCCAGCCAGCTTGGCCCAGCCATTGAGCATCGACCTGTGATATAGGAGATTACGGTTTGATTCTGGGTCAGGGCATGTGCCCGGGTTGTGGGGTTTATCCCCAGTAAGGGGTGTGCAGGAGGCAGCTGATCAATGACTCACCATTGATGTTTCTCTCTCTCTCTCTCCCACTCCCTGCCTCTCTCTGAAATCAATAAAGATATTTTTTAAAAAAATAAAATAAAGCTACTATGAATATTTGAATACACTGTGTGTGTGTACATATATGTATATTTCTCAATTCCTAGGAACAATATTATTGGGTTGTTTGGTGGCTATATAATTATAAAGAATGATGAAACTGTTTTTCAATGTGGTTATATCATTTTGAATTCTCTCAGTAATGAGACTTCCAGGTGCTCCACATCTTTACCAAAATCTAATATCATTTAATTTTAGCAACTCTAGTGGTTATATAGTGGTACCTCACTGTTATTGTCATCTGTAGTTTTCCAAAGATGTTAAAAATGTTTTCATGACCTTAATGAGCATTTCTCTTATTTCTTTTGTGAAATGTTTGTTCAGATCTTTTGTTCATTTTTCCCAATTGTTTTATTTGTCATAAGTTGGAAGATTTAAATATATATATTCTAAAGAAAAGTCCTTTGTCAGATATACTTAATATAGTACCTATTGTTCTCAGTCTGGAGTTTGAGGCTTCAACTCCTTGACAGTTGTTGGAGGAGGTCTTGGAGAGGACCTGACCACAGGTTGACCTGTAAGCTGGTCCCCTCCCATGCTCTCCCCAGTTCTTGGAATGTGAGTTCTGCCAGCCTTCCCAGCACTGGTAGCTGCTGCAAGGATACAGCATTGAGATAGTAATGTGTTGTTGAAACCATAAGGACAGTATTCATGGTGAACCCAGTGAAGGCCTCTATATAAACCTTTAAGATTCTGGTGGGCAGGTGCAGAGATTTACTCGCCTTGTGGCCACACATCGCAAGCGTCTTATATAAGTGTCCTTGCCTATTAAACCTGCCACCTACCAAACTGGAGTGGTCTACCTTTTTCTTTAGTCTCTCCTTGCCCTCCATGTACAGGGGCTAGTTTATGAACCAACAACTGCTTTAGAATAACAGAAGTATGTAATTCTGATTAAGTCCATTTTATTAACATTTCTCATTTATGTTTAATACTTTTGTGTCCCATTTCAAAAATCTTTGCTTATCCCAAAGTTGTGAACATTATCTTCTCTGTTTTTTTCCTAGAGACTTTATAGTCTTGGCTATATGGGTTTATGATTTATTTCAGTAAAACTTAATATTTTTTGTGAAGTAAAGGGCTTAAGTAAGGGCTGTCTTTTTCCCCATGCAGATACTCATTCATTTCAGCACCATTTGTTGAGAAGGATATCATTTCCTCATCTAATTACCTTGGTGCTTTTTTCTGAAGTCAATTGGTCATATGTGGGTCTATTTTTGGATTCTCTTTTTATTGACACTATATATTCTTATGCCAATATTACAGTCTTTATAACTTTAGCTTTATAGTAGCCTCAAAGTTAGGTAATATAAACCCTACAATTTTGTTTCACAATACTGTTTTGATGATTCTAGATCCTTTGCGTTTTCATACAATTTTTAAAATCACCTTGTCAATTTCTGCTAAAAAAACTATGTATCAGGGAGTTCAATTGCAGTTGAGTTGAATCTATAGATAAATTTGGGGGGAATTGATATTTTAGCAATATTTAGCTTTCCAACTCATGAATATATCATGTTTCCATTTATTTACGTCTTCAATATTCTAAGCAGTGCTTTGTAGTTTTCAATGTACATGTCTTCAACATACTTCCTAAAATTTACTTGTCAGTGTTTCATTATTTTGGATGCTATTGTAAACAGTATACTTTTAAATTTATTGAGAATTGTTTTTTATTCTAGTATATGGTTTATCTTAGTGAATGTCCATATTCAATTGAAATCAATGGTATTCTGCTGTTCTTAGGTGGAATGTTCTATAAAGTTTAATAAGTCAATTTGGTTGATAGTGTTGCTCACAATAATTACTCATTTGCTATTTATTTGTGCTATCATGTGTTGAGATAAATGTTGAAATCTTCAACTATAATTGTAGATAATTCTATTTCACCCTTCAGGCCTTATATTAGTTATCTATTATTTCATAATAAATTACCCCCAAATTTAGAAGCTTAACATAG